GTTGTGGCTTAGACCTATATTGATGTGTCATGTCACCAGAGTGGTGTGTTGGATTAGAGGGGATCGTTGAGATCATTAATGAATACGAACGAATTTGACTTCAGCATGTTGGAAGGATAATATCGAGGTTCGGCTCGAAAAATTGCTATGGTCATTGCCAAGGAGAAGTGGCTTCATGAATGGTTGACCTGAGAAATGGTTATGGCATACCGCGCGTTTTAGTTATCATTGGCAGTATATGAAAGTGTTGGGATGAGACCTTAGTTGATAAGAAATTTTCTACCGGTATTCGGTTGTTGTGTACACCTGTTGTGAAGGGAAGTTATCGCTACATGTGTTTGAGTTATGTGGTATATCAGATAATTGCATCGGAGGTTGCAGGCATGGGTTATTACAGCTGGTTCGGGCCTATTCAGAGTATAGGTGTGAGGTTTTGATCGTACTGATGGCTTTAGAAGCGAAATTGTGATTCTATGGTTGATGGGCTGGATTGGGTTGTACAAATTCAGTTACTATGTGTTATCGGACCTATATGAGATAGGGTGACGTGGGATCACCCCCGCGTATATGCATGGTAAAGTTATTCAGCAATTGGTTGGCTTCTAGAACAACTCTGGGTACGTTCGAGGACGAACGTTTGTTTAAGTTGGGGAGGATGTGACGACCCGGTCAATCGTCTCATGAGTTACCGCTTCGTTTCCCCCATTTCTGCTTCTTTATGCTTCGTTATCCGTGTTTCATGTGATCAAGTTGATTAGTTTGCCTTCAGAGAGGATTTGGTAAGAAATGAGACACTTAGTCTCTTTTAAGAAGGCTTAAGTTGGAAAAGTCAATCGGATGTTGACTTATGTGTTAGAGGACTCAGATGTGAGTTCCAATGGTTCGGTTAGCTTCGGGAGGTGATTTGTGACTTAGGAGCGTGATCAGAATTGGTTTTGGAGGTCCGGTGTAGAATTAGGCTTGAATTGGCGAAGTTAGTATTTTGGCGATTTCCTGTTGGTAGGTGAGATTTTGATTTGAGGGTCGGAATGGAATTCCGAGAGTTTCTGCAGCTTCGTTATGTCATTTGGGATGTGTGCGCAAAATTTCAGGTCATTCGGACGTGGTTTGGTTGGGCTTTTGATCAAAAGCGTGTTTCGGAAGTTTTTAGAAAATTTAGGCTTGAATTCGATGTGAATTGGTGGATTTGGTGTTGTTTGAGGTGTTTTGATGATTGGAACAAGTTTAAATGAGGTTTTAGGATGTATTGGTGCTTTAAGTTGAGGTCCTGGGGGCCTCGGGTGAGTTTCGGGTGGTCAATCAGACCATTTTTTAAGTTTAAAAGTTGCAGATTTTTATTTCAGGTGTTGCAGAGATTTATCTCTTCGCGTTCGCGAGAGGAGTCTCGCGTTCGCGTAGAAGGAATTTGGAAGGCCAGGATTTATACCTTCGCGTTCGCGTATAAGGACTTGGGTCCAGTGGAAAATTGTTCTTCGCGTTCGCACCTGGGGGCTCGCATTCGTGTAGGTCTGGGGATTGAAACATCGCGTATGCGTGACCCTGTCGCGTTCGCATAGGGTTATTTTTGAGTAATTAAAAAGTGTGCTTCGTGTTCGCGAGGCTTAGGTCGCGAATGCGATGAAGGAGTATCAGAACTGGGCAGAAAGTTTATTAAACATTTCATCCGCGATTTTGGGTCATTTTTCCTCCATGGTTGACCATTTTGAGAGCTTCTTGGTGGAGATTAAAGAGGGATTCAAGGGGAATCGATTGGAGGTAAGATTTTTGAACTTAAAACTCGTTTCTATTGTGAAATCCACCTAGAAATTCATGGAAACTAAGCCTAAAATTTGAAGAACTAGGGCTTGAGAAATTGGATTTTGATTTAGGATTTGAAGGACCGTTTGGGGTCGGATTTGAGAAATTTTGATATGTATGAACTCGTAGGGAGATAAGGAATCTAATGATGTGAAAATTTCTGAGTTTCGAGAAGTGGGCTCGGGGCTCGGGTTTTGGTAATTTCGGGATTTGTGCCCGTTATTGATTGTTTTCGCTTGGGCTTTATTCCCTTAGCATATTGTGATGTATTCGTTCTGATTTTGGGTAGATTCGACGCGCGTGGAGGCCGATTTGAGGGGCAAATGCGTCGCGAGCTAGAGATTTTACCGGTTCGAGGTGAGCAATGATTGTAAATGATATTTTGAGGGTTCGAAACCCCGGATTGCACATCGTAGTGCTATGTTGAGGTGACTTGCACGCCGGATAGCGAGCGTGGGGTAGAGCACCGTTGGGGATTGTGACTTGGTCCGTCCCGATTGATGAATTTACTGCGTATTTGACTGAAACTCACTTGTTATCATCATGATTTGGGCTGATTGCCATATTTGGGTTTCGTGCCAGCTATTTGAACCCTTGGGGGATTATTATCACGGTTTTCTCACTGTTTTGATTTATTACTTGAACTCAGTCATGCTGTTTTCCATTGTTTTACAACTCAGCCACTATTACTCAGTTATGAGACTTAAATGATATTGTAAATGATGTTTTGGGTTGAGAACTACTGTTTTACTAATGCCCGAGGGGCTTGTGATGATTTTCTGACTGAGTGTGGCCGAGGCCAGATGTGAGGATACACTGAGTGATATGAGGCCGAGGGCCTAAGATACATTTATACGCCACGAGGTGGCTTGAGTGATGTGAGGCCGAGAGCCGAGAGTTGATGCCACGAGGTAGCTTGATATAGCGCTTGGGCCGTAAGGGGCCCCTCCGGAGTCTGCACACCCACAGTGAGCGCGGGTACCCATTGTGATCTGAGAGTGAGCTCGAGGGGCTGATATTGATATGAGACTGAGCCCGAGGGGCTGATATTGTTCTGAGCGTGAGCCCGAGGGGCTGATATTGTTTTGAGAGTGAGCTCGAGGGGCTGATATTGTTCTGGGAGTGAGCCCGAGGGGCTGGTCTGTTCTGAGATATTGCCCGAGGGGCGAACCTTTATGTGTTCATCCTTCATATATACTTGTCATTTTACTTGTTACACTGTGGTATTTGTGCCCCGAGGGCGGATTTTCTGTGCTTATCGGCACTAACTGTTTTGCATTCATTTGAGTAATTACTGAAAAAGTCATTTTCAAAAGAATTTTAAACTGATCTAAGATGTTTCTAAAGATTTCTCAGCTTCACTGTTTTTCTCAAAGGGTTTTACACTGCTTCTATACAGCATATTGGTTTGCTTTACGTGATTTCTTACTGCTCAGTTGTTATTTACCTTTATTACTCACTGAGTTGGAGTACTCACTTTACTCCCTGCACCTCGTGTGCAGATGCAGGTATTTATTCACCCGGTAGCGGGTTTTGAGCGGATTGGAGGCTGAGTCATCGGAGTTTAGCTAGGTGGCTGCCAGCGTTCGCAGCACCGCTTTTCTCCCTTTTCTTTCATCAGTCCTGTTTGTACATTTCAGACCTTGTAGTTGTATGTATACTCTAATAGATGCTCGTGACTTGTGACACCAGGTATCGGGCTGTGTTTGGGTTTTATTCTGCGCTTTATAAAGAAATCTTTTGCTTAATTTGTGGTTATTTAATCATACTAAAACTGTTTATTAATATTAATTATTCTGAAAAGGCGATATGGGTTAGTTGGCTGGCCTTGTCTTCACGAGAGGCGCCATCACAATCGGATCGGGGTTGGGGTCGTGACAGTTAAACATAGCCAAATTAATTTGTGAGAAGTAATATATGCTATTGATTTAGTTTGTTGCCTCTGGCACTGCCAATTTGAAAGTTAACACTTTGTGTAATTAACTTTAACCAGCTTATTCGGAATAAGGTTGTTGAAAGTGCAAAGGAAAGTATCAGGCGAAAAGCTAGCAACTCCGAAATCTATGTCAACATGCAAATTGTATTCATGGAAATAGACAGTCCTCCTGTTGTAAGTCTATTTTATCCAATTCTTGACCGTTGATTCACTTTCCAATTACTACCGAGACTTTTGACACATCTTGTGATTGCATGCTCTATATGGAGAATCAGTCTTTGTTTTTCCAAATGCAGACGGTTGTAGTTAAAGAGTTGGAACACTTGAAGGAGGTAGTAATGAAACATGAACTAAATGAATATGAAAATGGATTTGCAAAACAATAAGAAGAACCTATATTAATGATTTCTCTCATAACTTCGGTTTTTCGGGTTAACCGAAAATCGAAATACCAAAACCGTAAATCGTACCGAATACCAAAATTTAATAATTTAAAAACCAGACACCGACCGAATAACCGATTAAACTGAAACCGAAAAATCAAAATTTACGGTTCGACCAATTTTTTCAGTTCGGCCGGTATTATGCCCACCCCTAGATATATCGCATATATTAGATGCGCTATACCTGAATTTGAAAAGACAGATAGGTATATTTTATTTATATATTCGCTATACTTGTTTTATAAAACGGGCCAGTCTCCTTCTTCAGGATAGAAGACAAAAATGCTGCCCCCCCCCCCCCCCCCATATTCAAACTGCTAAACTCCATTGGAGCCCACCCCTCCCCCCGAAATCGTATCCTAACACCTGATCCTATTTTAGCGATCTAATACCTTATCCAAGGCGTTGTCGTGTAGTAGAGCTCTTTTATTGCCCGGTTAGGTGGTCAAATCTTCATTTTTTCTCAATTCAAAAAAGTCAAAAAAGAGGTATTTCGAATCTTTTGTAGTATAACTCATGTATAATTGAATAAGTAGTTATTTTTACTGTATTGTACGCTTTTTGTGATCATTTTTTAAATTTTTTTTTTCCGGATTAGTTTATTTATGTGCAAAAAATTATGAAAATTGTATATTGTTTATTTGTTGAATAATTAGTGTTATATGTGACTTTAGTGTTATTTGTTTTTGGTAATTAATTTCTTTATGTTAATCACCAAAGTGAGACCATTACAAAACTATAGTCAGCATCATACTCTGCTGACTATCTCAACGAAATCATAGTAACCTTAATCTACTCAAAAGGACTATACAAGCTAATACTCTCTATACTAATAAGTATTTCTGTAATTGAATTCTAGCTTTGGGCTCAACTCTAACATTACAAATATAGGCTATCTCTCGCACTATACTATCACAGTGACGATATCTGTTTTCAAAGATACGATTATTTCTTTCCAGCCATAATGCATAGGATACTTCTGTGAATACCAGTCTGCAGATATTGGCCTGGTTGGATTTTCCTTTTGCTTTCTTGATGATCCATTGAAGATGATGTTGCCAATTGCTGTAGCTTACTTGATCTTCCTGAATCCATTTCCATATTCTACTCCATAATTCCGTTGCATAAGAACAATGTAGAAACAGATGATCTCTTGTTTCTAGTTGTCCCTGGCATAATACACAGCTTCTATCAATGGTCATTCCCCAGCTTGCTATTCTGTCTTTGGTAGGCAATCTCCCATGTAGCATTAACCATAGGTTGAAAATAGCCTTTGGTCGAGCAGCATTTTGAAATACCAAGCTCTTCCAACTCATTCTTGGCAAGTCTCCCAGCAGTTGTAAATACATATGTCTGATAGTCTCTTTGTCACCCCTTGTGCACTGAATTTGTTGTAGGACATCTCTGGAAGCTATTATTCTTCGAACCATCCAACTAGCTTGCTTCGGGATAGGCATAGTCTGAATCTGTTGATGCTTGATGTAGTAGGCATTGATCCACCTAATGCACAATTTGTCTTCTTTATGGGCTAAATCCCAGCATACTTTAGCAATTGCAGCCTTGTTCCAGATCATCAGGTTAATGATATTCATACCTCTAGTCGATTTTGGAGTACACATTTTGTCCCATGCCACATAGGTCTTTCTGGTAATAGTTTTACTACCAGACCAAATATAGCTTCTACACATAGCATCTATCATCTTTAACACTTTAGAAGGCAGAATAAACAGATGAGCCCAATAAGCTTGAATACCAAAGATAACAGATTTGACTAATTGTATTCGACCAGCATAAGAAAGTTTTTTTGTAGTCCAAGAAGAGATCTTTCCTGTGATTCTATCAATTAAGGGTTGCCATTGGATCAATGCAATTTTCTTGGAAGATAAAGGAACGCCTAAGTATTTAAAAGGCAACTCCCCTTGTACAAATCCAAGATAGTTCAAAATTTGTTGCTTAACAACCTGATTCACTCCCCCAAAATACACTGAGCTTTTACCCATATTAGCTTGTAATCCAGATGCCTTTGAGAACTGAGAAAAGTATTGGTAAAGGGTGGATGTAGAAAGAAGATCACCTCTGGAAAAAAGAAGAAGATCATCAGCAAAACTCAGGTGAGTTATGCCCAATTTTTTGCACCTAGGATGATATTGAAACAACTTGTCCTTTCCCATTTCAATGAATGATCTGCTTAAGTACTCCATAACAATAGCAAACAAGAAAGGTGAGATGGGGTCTCCTTATCTAAGACCCTTAGCAGATTCAAAAGGTTTAGTAGTTTCTCCATTAATCAGCACGGTGTAGCTAACTAATTTGATACATTCCATGATCCACTTTATGAATTTGTCAGGAAAACCAATCTCCTCCATCACCTGTTGTAAAAATATCCATTCAACTGAGTCATAGGCCTTTTGGAGGTCTATTTTAATCATGCACCTAGGAGAGGTTTGGGCTCTAGTATAGGACTTTACTAGCTCATGGGCCAATATCACATTATCTGCAATTTTCCTACCAGGAACAAAACCAGCTTGAGATTCAGAGATTATGTATGCCATGATCTTTTGAAGTCTAGCAGCTAGAACCTTTGAAATCACTTTGTATAACGCTGTACAACATGCAATTGGTCTATATTCTTTGATTGTAGCAGGTTTAGCAACTTTAGGTACTAGAGTGATGGTGGAGCAGTTGATTGGCTTATACATCTTAGAAGTTAGGAAGAATTCCCTAATAGCATATGTAACTTGTTTACTGATAATGCTCCATGATTTCTTGAAGAAGACAACATTGTATCCATCAATACCAGGTGCCTTATCATCTCCAATAGCTTTGAGGCTCTCCAGAATTTCCTGATCAGTAACATCTGCACATAGATCTCTTCTTTGGTGTTGAGTTAGTTTGGGACCATTGGACATGTACAATCTGTTTATGGCTGGAAGTGATCTTGCTGTTGATCCCATAAGAGACTTGTAGAAATCTAATATCTCTTCTCTAATGCCTTCAGGATCAGTAATTCTATCTCCACACCTTGTAGTAATTTCATTGATCTGTTTCCTCTGTGATCTATCTTTCATAACAACTGTAAAATACTTAGTATTATCATCTCCCAGTTGGATCCATTTAGCTCTTGCCTTCTGCTGCATGATATTCTCCTCAATCATAGACCAGTTCTCTAAGTTAAGTAGAGTCTCCTTCTCCCTTTTCAACAGACTGTTTGAGTACTTATTTGAGAGCTGTTCTTGTATGTCTTTAAGGTCCATTCTAGCTGCTTCAATTCTTAGTTTGATTCCTTTAAGCTCCTTAACATTCAAAACTTTTAGGGGAGCTTTCAATGCCTTCAATTTATACCATACATATTTCATATTACCAGTAGAGCTCTTTGTATTCCACCCTTCAGTCACTATTTGAGTAAATTCCCGATGATTAGTCCATGCATTGAAGAATCGAAATGGTACTTTCCCAGTCCAAGATGAGCTTGCTAGAGTTAGTAACATAGGGGCATGATCTGATATTTGAGGGAGATCATAGATTGTCTCCACATGAGTCCAATTCATCATCCATTTATAATTCCCAAGAACTCTATCAATTCTGCTACTAACCTTATCAACACCAGGTTGTCTGTTTGTCCAAGTGTAGTATTCACCCTGCCAAGGAAGTTCAGATAAAGCTATTTGCTGTAAACATGAGCTGAAATCCTGAGTTTCTGCAAAGCTAACTGGATTACAAGACAGTCGATCACTAGCATACAATACAACATTAAAGGCACCTGCAACCAACCATGGGCCAGTAACAGTTGTAGCGATTTGTTGAAGATTCTTCCACATTTTTCTTCTTTGTTCTAGCCCACTAAATCCATAAACAACAGTCAGATAACATTTAATATCCCCCTTCCTGCTTTGTACTAGAGAGTGGATCATTTGAGGATCATCTCTGACAACTTTAGTGTTATTTAGTACCCTTTAGTGTTATATAGTGTCTTTTAGTGTTATGTAATGCCCTTTAGCGTAGTAGAACTGGTAGTAGATTTTAATTTATGTTAGTTGATGTTGTTTATGGCCAATTAGAGTAGTGTGACTTTAGTGCTCTTCAGAATTTTTTAGTATAGAATAAAAACTACGTGTCCTTATTAGCTAAGTACTCAATTATGAATCAAATTTTAATATATTATTAAGTGTATAGTGAATGTATTATTAGATAACAAACAAAAATTAGATATGAATCATATAATAATTAGTTGGTAGTACAAAAGAGACGTTGTCGGATTTTTGTGTAAAACATAAAAGTTAACTGTCACGGCCCAAATCCACATGACCGGCACACGGCACACTATCCGATCCGAGCGAACCAACCCATATGGTTCACCCAAGCCATATACATGAAAACTAATTGCGGAAGCTCTTTGAAAAACATATATATTTTCAAGTTAAATGATGGAAAGTTTTCCAATTAAGAATCATACATTAAGCCTTTCATAATAATACAATAAGACTAAGTAAAATAAATATATTTTCATGTATGTCGTGTACAACCCCATTACTACAGCTTTTCACAACTATTTATGGAGCCTCTGTACCAAAGAATATAACTAAACACTCGGGCTAATGCCCGACTAACATAAATTAAGAAAATAACATGATAGCTACCACGAAACAGGAGTGGTGCCTCACCATATGCCTCGGGAAGAGAGTCATCCTAGTCATGTCCGCATGACACGTGTCAAATATCATCTTGAAACATGTAAAGTAAGTGGGCCCCTGAAAAGGGGACCCTAAGGGCTAAGTACACCACAATGATACCCAATAAGTGTCATGGACTCTCTCTAACTCAAGTTCCTGAGATAAAATTTTACAAAAACTATACAACAAATATTTGATATAAGGTGATAAATAATTATATAAATCACGCTCTTTATCATTTCAAATGAAAAGATAAGTGAAGTATAAACCATGATATAAATTCTTAGAACATTTGCATCAATCCAAGATTTTTAATAAAATCATACAAAAATATTTTAATTTCATTAAGTCATGGAAATCACTTTCGGTTCCTTAGGCCTAAACATAAGAAAGTCTTCTTTATCTTTCACCAGGAGTACTATACCGACACCGACATAATAAACAACTACTAGGTGATCGGCCTAGCAAAAGTATTTGACCCTACTTGTCTGGGCGACTTCCTGTAGCTCCGTACAAGTCGACTTAACCTCACTACTTTAAGTAATGATCAATTGCCCTCTCAATGGGGGACTATATACCATAAACCTCGGCCTATCCTTGGAATGCGTCCCTACACCGGCACGTATAGTTTCATAGTAACGAATTTAATATTCAGACCAATCTCGGTTGTCTCCACTAGTAACTACCAAAATATTACAATATCAAAAATAGATTCATAGCCTAATAGCCTCAAATGATCTATTTTATCAAATCATGATTTTCATAGCCAATCGAAACCATTTGAACAAAATCAAATGAATATCTTTTTCATGTTAATGCCTTTAGCAATTTAGCATCAATCTTTTAAAGATACAACAAGTGCTACTCCATTGTTCAAATTTCAAAACACATACTTTTTCATGAAACATATCTGTCACGACCCAAATTCTATTATAGGCCGTGATGGCGCCCAACACCGTTTTTAGGCAAGCCAACACTGATCATCTAGTGAATTCCCGTTTTAAATAAATTAGTAAGTTTCCTATTTGTTAAGAAAATCTAGAAGGTTGTAATTTTTAACATAAATAAGTGGAAGCAACGGATACAAATCAAAGTCATGTAAGCAAAATCAAAGTCATAAGTCTACTAGTGTGTGCCAAGACCTGGTGTCACAAGTATGTGGGCAATCTAGTAGAATATACAAAACAAATGCTAGCCTACTGTTTGAAAGAAAATAGACAGAAAATAAAGCATAAGAGACACTCCAGCTGCTGCAGAACGACTCAAAATGGCAGCTCACCGGGAAGTCTCGAGCTGGGGAATCAATCTACGCGCCGGACTGGTGGCCAGATGCACTTGCCTCAAATCCTGTACAATCAAGTACATAAGTGTAACGTGAGCACATAAAGATATGTACCCAGTAAGTATCTGGTCTAACCTCGAAGAAGTAGTGACGAGGGGTCGACTCCGACACTTACTAGGGCCAACAATATAATAATGTGTGATTCTAAATAAGCATGATATACAGAACTAGCAATAAACTCAGAACAAGAAATAACTGAACAGTTCTTCCATCATATTTAAGAACCTAAAACACTTCCTTCATTTGAAATAAATGATCTCTATAACACTAAATTTAACCAATTAAAAAAAGGGCTTCCAGTTCTATTATCACAAACAAATTCCACCGAGGACATTCAGCCCGATCAAACATAAACGTAAACTGTGCACTGCCGAGGGTCGAACGGCGCGAACCATAGATGCATTTATTAACATGTCGAGGCGAACGGCCCACTCCCATGAGAGTAGTGGAAATAGTCACCCCGCCCGCGGAATATACTTGCGACGCGGTTGAATCTAAATATAACGTAACTTTTCTCAATTCCTTTTAAAAATAAGAATTTACTTGAAATCTTTGAAATCTTAAAATCCTCATAGTTCCATTCAATGAAAACCAACAAATATGATCACATAACGGTGTCCACAAAGCATGGTGTAAGCCTAGAACTACCTGGACATAATAGGAATAGTAGCTATGTATGGACTCTCATCACTTCGTGCGTACGTAGCCCCCCCCACAATTAATCACATGTTAATTAAGTTCACCTATGAGGAAATTTCGCTCTTACAAGGTTAGAAAAGAGACTTACCTCATCTCAAAGCCTACTTCCAAACTCAAGAATGCGCTCAAACCCTCAAACCAGAGCCGAACAATCCAAAACTATTCAAATAGTATAAAAACCAATCATTATAGGTTCAAAAGTTCATATTCTAACTATTAAAGTGATTACCCAACCCCAAAGGCAAGATTCCCAAAATTCACCCTCGGGCCCACTTGCCCGAATTCTAGAAATTTTCGAAGGAAGTTGTTACCCATGACCTAAGGAACATAAATATATGATTATCACCAAGTTTCACGGTCAATTTCATGGTAAAAATCTCATTCTTGTCAAACCCTAGGTTTTTTATCTAACCCGTGATTTCTACCAATTTTCATGTTGAAATCTACCCAAAATCTATGTATTGAACTCACAATAGGTAGAAATTACTTA